TATCCTATTCTGATTTGATTGGTAATAAATTAATTTCCCCAAGTCGAGTCCATTTTGCCCGTGATGGTAAATGAGTGATCTCTCCCTCTCCTTTATCTTGACCCATGAGCCTTTGTTATATTTTCTTTCCCATGTCCAGCTGAGGAGGGGAATGATAGAGCAGCTTTGGTGGGCACCTGGTTTCCAGCCAGGGTCAACCCACCAGAACTACATAAGCCTGTAAAAGTATGATGAAATGCAAACTTTAATATCCCTGTATATATAATATCCCCTACATTTTAAATAGCCATATCACTGTAAAAGTCTAAAAAAAACAATAAATTGCTGCTTTTGTTTTAATTGACCAAAAAGCACTAACACACACATAATGAATTCTAACAGTCTTATAAATTGCAAGCAATGGAAAGTCTGTCACTATTATTGTAGCTTTCTTATAGGGAATCCCTCAACAATCATTTCTTACCTAGTCCTAGTCAATATGTAACTAGTGAACAGCTAGAGAGGTGACAAAAACATTCACCATACATACAGCATTAGTCATCTTTCATTACATATTGGACAACCCAATGGTTGTACAATGCAGCTGACAGACCAAAAAAAACCAAGTCAAATAAACAGTGATGGGTCAGTGCTGGGGCAAAGAAAATCCTTTCCAAAGTTCATGGCCATATTTGTCTTTGATTCAGAAGAGCAGCCATAGACAAGTGGATCAGTTTTGTCAGTTTAACTGTATCACCAGCAACAGCAGCCTCTGAAACTACCATTACAATGGTTTTAGATAACCTTGTAACACCTTTGTGTTACCAACCAACTTAGTCTCAAATACAAAAACCTCCATCAGCTCCCTACAAACTGCAGCAATACAGTATACTCGAACATAAACCAGTCAGTTTTGAAAAAAAAAATACAAATTAACACAGAATGTTGAAGTATTTTTTGTGATCCAAAATAGCAACAGTGCACAACAAGTATATTCCCATCCCTAAACTGGTTTCCCCACACTGTACCGATTCAAGTCAAAGCTCTTACCTTCCATATTCTACTTCAATCCACCTAAAAATATCATGTTAAGTTCAAGTATGTAAAATAGGACTTCATAACTATCCCCTGGGTACAATGAAACTTTACCATAAATATAGAAGCCCACCGTGAAGACACAGAGCTTTCTTAGGCAAGACAAATTAAATTCAACAGAAAATAAGGAACTATTACAACTTTGCCAGCTTCTCCAAATGCTAAGCACCTTCAATTTTCCTTCTTAAACACCACTTAGTCTGTCTACAAAGATGACAAAAAAGTAAACATTTTCACAGTCCTCAGATCCTACAGCAAAACTCATAGTCCTTCAGGGGGAAAAAGGAGGAAGAAAATATACTATGCACGACATACACTTAATACAATTCAGACAAGAGTTCAAACACATTAATAATGTGATACAAAACCTCTATGGGATGGGCTAGAAAGAAGAGAACTCTGCTCCTAGAGCTCAGTGGCCACTCCAAGCAGGGCTGAGTGCCCTCCCAGCCCCACAGCCTCTGGACCAGGGCTGGCTGCCGTTCCTGCAGCCTGGAGCGCAAGCGGCATCAGCACAGCCCTACCTGCAAGAAGCTAGGCAAACCCACCCAAAATATAACATTGAAAGGAGTAGGCATGTGCATAGACTGCATAAAGTATTTCAATATTTCCGTATTTGCATGTCAAATGGAGATCTTAAACCAAGGACTTTATATTTGTCTAGTTTGGAGACAAGGAGGCTGAGGGGAGATCTCCTTGCTCTCCACAGCCTCCTGAGGAAGGGACATGCAGAGGGAGGTGCTGAGCTCTTCTCCCTGGGATTCAGTGACAGGACATGTGGGAAGGGTTCAGTGCTGCACAGGGGAGGTTTAGGCTGGACATTAGGAAGCATTTCTTTACCAGGAGGGTGGTTAAACACTGCAACAGGCTTCCTGTAGCGGTGGTCGATGCCTCAGGCCTGGCAGTGTTTAAGAGGCATTTGGACAATGCCCTTAACAACATGTTTTAGCTTTTGGTCAGCCCTGAATCAGTCAGGCAATTTGACTAGATGATCACTGTAGGTCCCTTCCAACTGAAACTATTCTATTCTGCAACCAAATAAGGCATAATGAAAGTGGTGACTAGGTTATCCAGGGTCTCCACTGTTATCCTGTATGGATTCTGACCAGTATCTTTCACAACAAGTTTTAAAGACAACACTAGTTAACTATTTGATATGTTTCTCAGTTTAATCAATAAACAAAAAAACTGTACACAGATGTGGAAGAATTCACTAGCTTTTGGGTAATTTTTACAAAAATTAAGAATTAATGCATCTATCAAAGATTACATTTGCAAGGTAAGTTGCAGTCTTGACAGAAACAGCTACATTTCTAATTGCAAGGCTAAAACAAAGTATTTGAAAGAGGGTTTGGCACATATGTAATCCAACTGTATTTGGCTGAAACAAGCAATTAAAAATTTTAATTTATTTTACTACAAAGCTTATTCTTCTGGCTGCAGTTCCAATGTTTTATTCACACATTAAAATGGTGGTCTCTGGTCCGGCAGGTTGTTGGCTCACTGTCACAAATGTAACTGAATTACATGAGCAGAGCAAGGCCAGTCCATCTCACTCCTACTCACTGACCAGCATGTTAATAGAAATCATGTTCAGATGTGCCTCAGCAACACACTTTTAGCCTTGGCTTCTTCTCCGAAGTCACTGTTTATGCACATACCATTACTTGAACCCATTCTCCCCCTCAGACAGACCATTCAGCTCATCTACGTTTGCATTAGCTGTTTACTTCACTTGAAGCTCTTGCAATTAAACAAGATACTTTTATCTACATCTATGCCCTTCTTTCAGTTGCCTGGATAGTACCCTGAGTAAAATCAGAAAGGATGAGGAGCTCAGAGAGATGACTGAGGCCAGCAGTAAGTAGCGGCTGTGAAGGTGGGGAAACAAGGCACTAAGGCAAGAGGAAAAGGACATGGCTATAGCACACCATCACTGCACAGGACTACGGCTAAGCAATGAGAAGACGATGAAAGTAAGACTAGGCCAGAGTATGAACAGAACTTAAAAAAGAAAACCAAAACTGGGAGGAGGCAAAATCAGTGGAGCACTGGTGGTAAGAAGAGAAGAGAGAGAACAGACTAGGTGGGAGGAAGAAATGGGTCTAAGCCTAGTCTGAGGCTATACATTATTTGGAATACAGACAGTGAAAGTGAGAAGGAGAAACCATAGTTCAGAGACAGTACTGGAAGCGATGGGGCAGAAGGTAAAAAGCTTCAGAAGGAATGAACACAAGTCTGTGGCTACAAGAGTGTCTAGAATTGAACCTAAAATCCTCAGATTTTGTCTTGCTTCCTCTGCTACTGAATATAACTATGAAACACTTTGGCAAAGCATCCAAACACCATTTAGTGTTAACCCTTAGAGGGTAACAACCTGCCCTCAGCATCAACCTAAGTGCTGAAGTCCTGAATGGCAGATTTAAAAGTTGCAGTCATGTTGAGGATGCAGATAAATGTCAACATGATGCCCTGTGATAAAATTTCAATCATTTTGAGAATTCTTGGAATTCACACACACACAAACTGTGTTAAAATTTAAAAAGGCTGCCCTGTTCTGGAGTAAGACTAAAGGAACCTGTTTTCTCTACCACTGTAGAACATGGAATATCCTTAGTTAAAATCAGAGGATGCAGTGGGTGGCAAAAAGTTAGATCTTGTGGACAAAGATCTTGAACGTAGTTTTATGGACTGGTCTTTTCACTGCAGATAGATCCCTACCATAGAACTCACAGTTGACAAGTCACTTCAAACAGCTTTTTGTAATGGTTAATAATTATACGTTCATTTAACAGGCACCCAGCTTGACACCCTCTGCTTAGGCCTCAAAGTAATCACTGAGTGACTGAACATCAAACATCAGGAGTTATAAAACACATCAGTTTTTAAGTACTCTCTCTCAGAATTGGGAAAAACACAATGAGCACAGAAATGCAACATTAATATCTGTGCTTGAAAAAATAAATTATTCATAAATTAGAAAATGACAGCACGAAGCTACTTCCATATGTATTCTGCCAGCCTGTCTCCTCAGAGAGCAAGTCTTTTTCACTTAGCTTTTCAAAAAATGGACCCGTACCTTATTAAACACGTGCTACTCAAACCCTGCTTTGGTATCAGACTTCCTTCCCCGCCTTTTGCTCAGTATGGTGGAATATAACCCGCAGCAAATCTGTTTTTACAGCACAACTGTGTGCTATTATTAATGCTGGTCAGCCTTTAGCTCTGTAATTCCTTAACTTCTCAGTGCTTACCTTTGCGAGTCTTAAAATGCTCAGGTTACCTTTGTACACGCCATTTGTATAGAACTGGCACTTTAGAGCCATACCGTGTGACAGGGGAAAACGGCAAAACTAAAGACAGTACATACAGTGCAACACTGCAAACGCTTATGCTCCTGTTTGCTACGAGAGCGTTCTCTTACGTGGCAGCCGGCGTGAGGAAACGCCCGTGTGAAGGCGGGCACGGCCGCGGCGCGGGCTGAAGGCCAGGCGGTTCCGCACGCTTGGAAGCGCCGGCGCTCGCAGGAAGGGGCCGCAGCCAGGGGAGCCCCCCAGCCCGGCCCTGCGTGCCCCTGCCGCCGAGCGGGCCCCCTCGCCCGGGAGGAGCCGCGCCGGGGGGAAGGGCGGGCGACAGGCGGGCTCGGAGCCTTCCCCAGCTGCCACCTCAACCGCCGCGCTCCCCCCCCCCCCCCCCAGCCCACATCCGTGTGGGAAAGAGCTGCCCCGGGGTTGTCTGCGGACGACGCCGGGGCCCGCTCGCTCGCCCCGGAGCCCCCGGGGACGGCTGGACGCGGCGGCCCCGCTCCGAGGCGGGGGGGGGGGGGGGGGGGGGGGGCGGGCGGGCGGGCTGCCCGCGGCGGCGCCGCTGCTGAGGGGGCGCCGTCAAGCGCCGGGCCGCCCCGCTCGCGTCCCCGCCGTACTCACCACCTCCCGGGCCCGGCTGGTGAAGTCGCTCTTGGAGCGGGCGGCGCTCCGCTTGAGCAGCTCGTCCCTGGCGCTGTCCCCCGCCGCCACCCCCAGCGCCTTGTTGCGGGTCTTCACGGTCTTCACGCTGGCCTTGAACAGCAGGGTGATATCCACCGCCATGGCGGCCCGCCCCCCTCAGCCGCCGGCCGGGGCCGGTGCCGCCGCGCAACTCTTCCCCGCGCAACGCGGCCCCGCGCTGCGCGTTCCGCCCCGCGTCGGGGGTGTGGGACGGGAGCGGGGGGAGCCGCAGCCCCGCGCTGCCGTCCCTCGGCTCCCACTGTCATTCGGCGGGGCTGAGCTCCTCGGCGGCCGAGGGTGCGACGCCGGGCCCAGGCAGCCGCTGCTCCAGGCTGGGGGAAGCGTTTCCCCCGCCCCCCCCCGCCCAGCCGCGACCAGCGCCCGGGCCGTGCCCACCCCCGCACCTGGCCGCTGCCTCCTCCTACCCGATAGCAGCTTTGAGGAATAAAAGTTGTATTTCGACAAAACTTTGACGTCTAGACCAGCCCGCTATGGCGTCGTGGCGGGCGTCGCCAGGTGGTGCTGTTATACGCCCGCTCCCAAATGCTTGGTTTGGTAACATGGAAAGACGGGTTAATGAGAGTTGATTAATTAGTTAGCAGACCTGCACTGGGGTCAGGGGTTGGCGCTGGTGTGAGGTTCCCCTAGGAAATGGTCAGGCGTCTGTGTCCCCTGAGCTGTGCGGGCAGAGCCGCCTCCTCGCCTGGAAGGTGCAGCCGTGATTCCTCCCCGGGCTGGGAGCTGGCCTGCGAGGCCCTCGGGCCTGCTGCCCCCCAACACTGGGACACTGTCACAGCGCAACCTGGAAGATGTGTCACACAGTCAGTTACAGTACAGCGCTGTTTGTGATCTGATTCTGAAGAAACCTTTGTGAAATTGCCCTTGTTATCGAGGCAGCTTTATTACCATGTTTTGTGCAGTTGACCAGCTGTGTGAAATTGTGTGGCACACGGGAAAACTTTTGACCAAATAACCAGTGGTGGAGTGGTGGTGTAATATATATATATATATATATATATATATGTGTGTGTATATGTATGCCCTATAATGCTCCGGGATCCAGCAGATACCATGTAGTATTTAACTGTGCTGTCACTGACTAGAGCACATTCCCTGAGACAGTCGCCAAAGAACACAATTTCAAAATCCTGCCTTTCCCCAGCAGACTGGAACTTAATCAACCACAACTATTTTTCCTATCTACTCCAGAGTATCAGGCTTTCTTCCCTTGTTGATTACCACTCTGCTTTCAGTTCAGTTCTCATCAGTTCAGCCTTAGCTATAGATTAGTGGTTCCCTCACATTATGATTAGTATTCATTCGTACTTTGTTATTATCATTCTATTTTAAATTGTGTTTTTGTTGTGGTACAGATAAGTATTTCTAATTAAAGGAATAGACTGTTTTAAGTCCCTGTCCTCGGTGCTGGATTTACCATGGAAATATATTTAAGGTCTTAAAAAAGCGGACAATGAAGGAGATTAACCTTTTCATTCCAGGAACACCAGCCGTATTTGACTGAATCTCAAGCCAAATGCCTTTGCTCTTTCAAGATTAAGAAATTAAGCATAAAGGTATTTTAGCAAAGGATGTATTTAATAAAGCTGTGTGGAATTTACGCATTGTAAATAAGATACATTCAGGTATGTTTACTAAAATTGGTTGTTTTCCTTTTTTTTTTGCATTACCAAAACCAAAGTAAGCACACTTAATAAAATTCCAGGAATGTCTTGATCACACTGACCCCCCTCAGTCTGAAACTCCCTGAAGACACTTCTGAGACATGTTCACCAACGCCATGTGTTGGGGTAGTTTTCATATGCTGTGGTTCTGCCATCCTTGTGGTAACTAAATGCCTCACTCCACAAACACATTATTTCACAGGCAGTTGAACAGGTAACTTCTTGTCAACAGAAATAAGAAATTCACAGCTTGGCCCACGGTAGTATCCTCCTGAAAAGGTAGTGGATAGTATTAACCTCTGGTTTTGTGCCTATTCAGCTGTATAGCTTGTTCCAACGTTTAATGAAGCTGACATGCACACTCCCTTCAAGTACTCCCATTTAAGTGGTCATTAGTTAAGGATCTAGAGATTTTTGCTATTAGAGTGCTGCCTTTTTACATTTAAACTGTAGAAATATAAAAGTTATTTTGAAATTCTGAACTTCCCTTCCTGCTTTTAGAAAAAACAACTTATTGATGCCTATGTGATATTATAGTTTACTCATTTTCTAATGAAATTTGCATACTTTAAAATAACTGGAATGTTCTATACATTTTTGGATGAAAAAAAGAAACTATGGTTCATCAAAGCAAAGTAAATTTTAACAGGCATACTATAGTTTGCCTCCTAACTTTGCAAAGATTTACACATACTAAACAGCTGTGAATACTGTGAATACTCCCACTGAGGTCAATGGAGCCACACATAGCTCATACAGTTAAGCACATAACCCTTTTAGTGGATCAGGACCCTAGCTGGAAATTCTTTGGGAACAAGTTTGTCTCTTAATTTCTACGATTACGTATTTATTTGTGCTTTATGTATGTGACCGGTAGTTATGGAAATAACAACCCCCGAAACAGGAATAGTAATATTACACAACCAATTTTGAACCTCAGCGATCTTAAAACTTCCATTCGGGCATAAGGAAATAGAGAGAGACACATTTGAAAAGAAACACAGTATTAAAATTCCATATAGCTGATCTCATCTGTCAGAAATGGACTGAAAAGTTAATCTGGCACAGAAAACGTTAAAGTAGCTTTTTAATGTGAAAAAAGGTTGCTCAAATGGTCTAACTCATTAGGTATATAATACCCAGGGCCTCTGCTCTAGAGATAAATAGATAGCTTTGAAGATTGCAACTGCTTTAAAATCAGTTGCTAAGAACTGGTGCCCAGAGCTTTTATTTGAACTTGATCCTAGCTTCCTGTATACAGTAACTGCATCTGCTCAGTAGTTATTTGCACTTCCACAGCCACCTTGTTTTGAAAGTTTAAAGCTTACTTTGGAGCAGATAGGTTTCAATAGTACATGACGGAGCTTCCTGTAATTGCTAAAAAGACTAACCTTGAAATTTAAGATTTTAAGGTTGGAGTAAAATTCCAAAACACACACAAAGGACTACAGTCCCACCACAATCAATACAGGTAAATCTCTAATAACACGTACACTGTGCACTCGGTCATGCCTCAGCAGGAGCATGTGTGGAAGAGGAGGAATTAGGAGTTTGCAAACTACAACAGTTTTGTGTGCAGTGTGAGGAGAGCATGCTGATCATCAGGTCTTGGTGTACCTGCTTAACAGACATGTCCAGTAAAATGTCCTGGGCAAACCTGCCAATGAAAAGGAGTCAATGTTTCCCTGTGGTTATCAATCAATGTATCTGTTAGAGAGACTGGTGGGGTTCATCTCCACTCAGAGACAGGTAATTCCGCAAATTGTAATTTACTTTTGTGTGAGAGGTAAACAAAAAGGACAAAGCTCCTGAATGAATTCCTTTACAATGCGCTCCAGCTACGAAGGTCCTAATTTGTTATGGACAATAGAAAAAACTACATGTTGTCCATTTTATACATTTTATATTTTTTCTGGCATAAAAACAGTAACTTACTTCATGTGATGTCAGTGTTGCAAACTGATCAAAATATCAAAAGGAGGGCAATTTGTTTACTGTGCATGTTTGTAATCAAGAAAAATCAAAAGGGGAGAAGCTTTATATGATGACTGTTTAAACTTTTAAACCCATAGCATGCATGCTTATTGGATTAATCTCAAAAGTAAATACAACTACTTTGTGGGTATGTAAAGAAATATTCTTTGGTGTTTAAAAGTAGGATTAGAAGACAGTACAACCTGTGTACTGTGTATAATGAAATAAAGTTTTCTGGAAAGAATAGATATGGATTGCATAGATATAAGCAACTTGTGTTGTCTATGGCAACAAATATTGACTTCTAGAAGCCAGTTCAATTGGCAGTAACATCAAGGTTCTCTCATCCCTCTTGAAACTAGACCATCACAACAAAATTTACACCGAAAATAATTAAAAACATAGAAACCCCTAATATAAAATACATTATTGTCTTAAATTATATCTGTATATATAATATCTAACAATAGAAATTCAGGGAAAAAATGAAAACTTGATTTTCTAATTGTTGAGGAGCACATTTAATTCTTAGATATGTTATGTATAAAGCACTCTTTAGTTGTAATGTAAATCCTAACATGATATATGCTATCCAAACTACATCATCAAAGAAGTGTGTGTGTGTGTTGAATGCAATTAAACTTGAACTATGGAAATGTTAAAGATCTGGCTACTGCATGCAAGAATAGTTCTCAGGAGTGCTGATTCTTCCTCACGGAAATGGAAACACTATCCCTGCCTTTGGATATTGTATGTAAAAAGCAGAGGAAATTCCAAGTGGGGAAGAAGATTGTAGGTCTTAATTGAAAAAAACTAGCTTACAGGCCAGGTTTTATAACAAGAATGATTTGGGGTTATATACTTAACCTATGCACCAAAATAAATATTATTTTCCAAAGCAGCAGATTTCAGAGTGTAAAACCTTCAGTTCTTTGCTCACAACTCAAATTGTAAACCTTCAGATCTGTGCTTCTCCTACAAAGCTCTGAATTTTATAGTACAGTTAGTATCTTATAGAATAGTTAGATTTTTTTTGGCCTTATCACTACTGCTTCTTGGCTGATCCAACAGCAGCAGTAGTTACAGCAAATATATTTGTGCACCTTTTAATGCTGTTTGCTGCTATTGTTCTGAGCAGATTATCATCTAACTTGGATAACACCCGACTGGTGGAACCCAATCAATGGTAGCCAAGAGGAAGCCTAGAATCAAAGCCTTAGCTCAGATTCCCCAAAGGTAATTAGGAGCCTAACTCCTGAGGAGATCTGAATCCCATTCAAAGTATCTACATATCACTTGATTTCAGTGAGTTTTGCGTGTCAGGTCTCACCAACAGCCTTGGCTGTCCCTGATCAGCCTCCTCGGGGGCCTCCCTCATGACCTCCCTGTGGGCTGATGTCAGGGGGGTGCCCGGTGCCCTGGGCTGGGGGTGCCCCGGCTGCCCAGCTCCCCTCACTCTGGGGCAGCAGGACAGGCTCCTCCGGAGAGGCCCTAATCTGCTGGCTGCGGTGTCGCAGCCGGCACCCTGTCCCTGAGCAAGCAGCGCGTCCTCGCTCTGCCCTGACATTGGGCACCTAAATAACATCTTTATGACTGTCAGAACTAGAACAAATAAGGCCAGTACTACCTATGGCTGTCATTTCCCACCACCAGCATATATGCCTGGAAAAA